TGCACGACAACATTCACAACTTGCCCCAATTCGCGAATAACATTGATGTCAATATTCGCGTCAAAAGTTTCACGACCTCGTTTTGGTTGCAATTTTTTTATTGACGTAAATATTAACGAACTTGCCCCAAATCGCGAATAATTGTGACATCAATATTCACGTCAAAAGTTTTACGACTTCGTTTTGGTCGCAATTTTTGTTTGCCTGCGAATGATTATTTTTTAGCAAGCTAGACATTCTGTGGGCGAGATAATTGTGTCAAGCGGCTGTATTTACCCCCCCCCCCCAAAAAAAAAAACCCCAGACGCCTGGTTAAGAACGCACACACAACACAAGTGTTAATGCTTCGTTGTGCACTCATGGTGTGCTGACTGAGCTAAGTATATAGTCCCAGTTTCGCTCGTTTTCGTACATTTTGTAAACGAGAATGGACAAAAAACATATCGGAAAACAGTCTCGATATGATACAAAGTATTAGCACAGCTCGCGAGATGTAAAGTACTTTTTAAGTTACATACTAAGTGTAAAGTATGGAGGTGGGACAATTGAGGTCAGTCACCTAAGGTTATACAGGCAACATCTGAAATAGTTCAATTGACTTACTGCATCACCATTTTCTACTGTAATCCTATAGATTAGATGCTTGGCCTTTTAATTTGTGAAGGCCAGGCACTTGATGAAGTATGGAGGAATCATGCAACATATAATAATCACCTAAAGAGTAAGGTAAACAGATCAGGGTTTTGGCATATTTTGACATTTGCATCCTGTCTTGTACACAGGTAGGCCTATACAAAAAGAAGACGACAAAACAAAAACAAATACAAAACATAAAATAAAGTTTATACATTTGCATTTAGGAAGTAATATTGATGATTTAGTTGGGTATTGTGTCCGACATTCTGGTTTATGCATATTATTGTTATTGTTTTTTGTTTGTTTTATTAACGGGTGAAACTCTCATTCAATTTTCTTACTGAAACACATATATCTTCATTCTTAATCAACTGTCACTATGATTTCAAACATGTCTTTCGTGTTATCTTGTCGCCTTTACTCATAAGGGGTTAATGAAATAGGCAATTTCTTCGGTCTACTCTTGGCATATATTTGTATTATCACACACTGAAAATAGGACAAGACCCACATGTTTACGTGAGGGGATTTCCAATTCGTTATTTCAAAATTGTCTGCAACTGCAGGGATCCCCCCTTTTTTCGAAGTTTCAGTCAATATCAATTGTAAACATTGACGGGTTTTTGCGTTATTGGCATTCCTCTGAAAACAAGTAGCCAGTTCAATGGAAAACGCAAATTCATTGTATGGGCATTTTTGGCATTTATTTACGTCAGGGAAATTCCAGTATGGTATTTCGACATTTGCAACTGGGACTTTTTCTCATGATTTTATTATGAAGTCATATTTAGAGAGACTGTAAACAACTTCCTGAGGCGTTCTGGTCGGATTGACGTTCCATTGTTAAACGGAGCATTCCGCGCCGTGGTATAATTTGCCTGACAATAGGTGCTAAGTTCAATGTGAAAGGTCATACCTGACTCAGCAATCCGGCTACCTGTGTTACTTTCTAATTCGATGTAGGGACAAACATTTTTTAATGTCAATTTATTAAAACGGTACCACAAACTGCAGTGTAGACAAAAAGATTGAAAGGCATTCTACAATGGAAGAAATATGTTAATTGAACAACATCGTAAAAAAGATTGAAAGTGCAGTTCACTGAGTAATGAGGTAACAATATAAGGTTTAGAACGTTGCTTATGATTCTATAGTTTTATTCACGGCTGGAAATATATAGTATATGTAGTAATAAAACAGATAGCTGTCGCTTCGAGATGAAATGAGCACTTGTCGCCTTTTTTTTGAACAGGTGTTTTAGATTTTGTGAATTTTCCTATGACCCAGGTCTTTATACTAACCAAATATAGACATTAAAATGTATATCCCGTGCTCTTCAAAAAATATATTTGTTTATCCTAAAGAAGTTCAATTTGTTTGTTTTGTTTAAAACACACCATACTCTATTCCCATGTTGGGGTTGTGTATAAACCCACTGACAAAGGGCTTTAATTTTTGGCACAAATGAGTCCGCCCTTCGAGAGCCGAACTATTTTTCTGTATGGCAGTGATAACTTTAATTGGGTGATGACATAAATCAATAACTAAACGTTGAGGGATTTTTTTTTCGTTCGATGTCTCATTCAAAAGTGAATAACACTATATTGCTAGGAAAATAGAAGCTAAAAAAATATTTTCGAGGTGAAACTCGATAAAAGAACGGGGAACGCATCTTTTAATTTGCGATCTCTAAATTGAATACTTCCAAGTTCCAACCCAAAACACTGTGTCCTATAAATACCTGCCGTTCATTCAAACCTCAAAACACAACTTTTGATTTCAAATGTATACAACGGATAATTCCTGCTCGGTAAGAACACCTGTCCTGGCATCAGACCGAATTCCTTTTTTTTTGGTTTGAAACAAGTCTATTTCAGAGCCTATTTCTAATGATCCTATTTTCGGGCCGCGCACCCGCCAAACAGTCGACAGTATTGTGCCCCGACTACGGCAATGTGGAATTTGTTTCTGTCAATGTCTTCGTTGCAGTTAATTTGCTTTAAGCCACAATTAAACTATTCATTACACTTGTGAATATTAACAATCATAAAGAAGCAACAAAATCGATCTGAAGCGTCTTCGAGTAAATACGTTAAGTCTGTCATGAGCTAATGTGGCCCCATCATGCCGGCGGTTATCTCCGGGTTCAACTTCAGCAGCATGAAACAACAGATAATTATTCCCCCTGGATGAGATGCCAGTCCATCGCAGTCTACTCCCCAGCAAATGCCAGTACCTATTTATATTTCTGGGTGGAGAGAGGCAAGTGTGGGTGAAGTGGCTTGCCCAAGGACGCAACATTACCAGCAGCTGTTTTCGAACCCCTGACCTATATAACATTGCCCATCCAAGGTGGACTAGGAGTTTTCCGACCAATACCATACTTATTTTCACCGTATTGTGCTACTACTAAAAACTTACCCTTTTTTAAATGATACACATCTTGCCTCTATGCCTACATTCTGACAGGGGACTTTGGGACAAGATATATCTGCATGTAAATTTGAGGATGTAACCTAAATATTCCTGTCTTGAAGAGGCCGACAAAAATCGACACAAAGGATCATCTATGAAACTTGTTAATGGAACTGCTTTATGTTAAAAAAAAAATCGGAAAGAAATTTGCAACCTGACCCCACTTCAGCGGTTGTGTACAAAGTCTATGGAGTGTCAAGACAGTATTTCCTAACAAGATTTGAAATGTTTCTCAATCCCAGATTCAGGTATTATCATCATTATTTGCAACGACTTACCTTCATTGAGATGAAATGAAGAAAATACCAACGTCAGGTTGCAACATTCTTTCAAAAATTTCAAAACTATCAATCTATTATCCGAGCACCTGTAAAAACTTAACCACCATTTCTACTCGATGACAATTAATAGGTGCATGTGTTCTTGTAACATTCCTTACGGATTGGTACTTTCAATTTTTGTTTTGACTGCTGTTCAACATTCTCTTAAAAACGTTGTTGTCCACACATTTTTCTTTCAGTAAAGTTGTCAATTTGACAGGTTTTAAAAATCGTGAAATTTCTTGCAAGAGATTTCCTTATATTGCCTATATTCCCAGTTTCGATAGTGAAGCTAAAGCAGGTTTATAACATGGAATGACTAACAGTTTTCAGTTCAAAATAAGACTTCGTGTTCCATGAAGCTTTCTACAAATAATAGGTCTGCCACTTTTACAAAAAAACTGTTCTCAAACGGTCTCAACCAAGTATGTAAACACCTTCAATCGTGGACCCCATATTGTCCTTTTGCTTGTACCACTAATTAACCTTTTAGGTCGTCAATTGTTCACCTTCGGGAACTGTGAACCCTGTTGTTCTCTATTGTTTAATGTCCCAATGCATAAACAAACCCAATGTATGAAATAAACGGGGGCTTTATAAGCAGAAAATCGTGTGCTTAGCAGCGGCTTGAAATTGGGCACTGGTAATTTCAGTTAATTTATGCATGTTGTTGCACCCATCTTGAAAGGGTCACATCGTCCAGAAATGTATCTGCCTAAGATGGTTTACTTATGGTTTTCTTCGTTGAAACCGATTACAAGGTTTTTTTTTCAGCATTATATTTCCCCCACTTGCGATTACATATTAACTTGTTCTATTTCATACACTAAATTGTTATTTTCAGAATTTGTCTTCTTTGCATTAAGTTTTTGAATACCTTCTGATTATTTTCCCAAACAATGTCATATAGCAAATCGTTGACTCGTGTGTGCATTTTTTTGCCAGTTCGTTACCTAATAGGGTAGGAATTTCCACGGAGTATTTCCTATTGCAAATGTGAAATGTGAGTTTAATCTTTAGAAACTACTTCCACTCGAGTAAAGTGAATTTTCACTCTTTGGAATATAGAGAGTATCGAGAAAGTGTCATCTGTTATTAGATGGCATTATTTGTAATGATTTTTCATGTAAACCAAATGTTACGAAATCAATAAAAATTATTCAGAATAACATATATGTCGTAAACACCAGTGTGAAATTACCATGGTTTTAATATGAATATAATTGTATGCACTGTATCAATTTAAGATGTGCTTATAGATTATATATACTTATATAGCATTTAAATAGTTTGTGTGATAAACGTAAATGACAGGTATAACTATATGTCGTATTTTATATGAAAATTAATAATAAAAGCAACCCGGCCTTCTACGTTCTCTTCAGTTTACTGGGCATTCACTCGTTAACTAGTTACGTAAATCATCCGCCGTTTTCTCAATTTATAATTGTATACAATTTCGTTTAAACTCACTTATCTATTTATTTTTAAAAAATCTTTAGACGTAAACATATAAAAACAATCCTGGTTGTACATGGGCTGTCTAGGAAATACAAAAGTTAAAAACTGTCATCCAAAGATGTGTATAACCAGACACCTGACAACATAAAATAACAATAAGGATAACAAACATAAAAACAGAAAAGAAATCAAATACAAAACCATAGGCCTATACACGATAAAAACAAGAATACATGTAAATCAAATTAGGTTTTGCCCTTCAGCGACGTTTCTTTAACGGGTAACACACTGAGTATACAGTGTTTAAAAAACGTCGGTGAAGGGCAAAACCTAATTTGATTTATATCACCCCGACGCAAAATTCCATCAGATAAGAATACATGTACATCGAAAAACATGATATAAAAAAAAATTAAAAATAAAATAATGAAAAAAGTAAAAATGAACCAGCAAATAAGCAAAATTTATTTTAAAATAATCAAATTTATAAACACAAAAAAGGAAACCAAAGGGACAAAAGAAAAAAAAAACAAGACCAGACAATACGACCCAATAAACAAAATCAGTGAACCGGGCATAAAAGGATACACATAAAGCCACCAAAAACACTAAGAGTAAGACACCCCAATGAAAAAAAAACGACATCCGATTATTACTCACATTTGATTATTACCCTCACTCTGCTTTTGATTGACTTTGAATCATAATTAAAAGTCGTGAACTTTAATTTCTATGCAAAGGAATCATTGTTTCCCCGCCTTATTAATTGGTGGCTTTTCAATATATCCCTTCCTTTTTGGCTTACTGTTTGTTCTTCCCATTTTATTTGTTTAGCTCCTGTTTGTGACGTACAAGTTTTCAGTCCGGTGTATTACACGTAACAATGTCAAAATTTGGAATGCCAGTTTTGTATGAGCTTAAAATACGGGCAATCTCAATGTGCCGTGTCATTATTACTTCTTAATACTTAAATAATATGCGTGTCCAATTTTACTTTTCTTCTCTTACGTTTTTAATAAAAAAAAGTCTTTATTCTTTTCACTCTGCATGGTAAGTTTTCTATGCAATTCTTATTTCTGGAAGTATGTTTGTTTTGTAACTGGGAAATCAGAAATTACAAAGCACAATTAAATACTATATAAAACGCGTACAAATCAACCAAGAAACCAAAGTCATGTGATGCCGCGATAAAATGAATTGCATTTTATCAAAACATCGTTTAAAGCTATAGTCCATCATTTGCAGCTATCCGAAAAGTGGCTGGCGTAATTATTGTTGAAAAACATACTTGGTTGAAAGATAGTAAGGGGTAGTAAGGGGTAGTACTAAACTCCCTGTGAAATTATTCTTTCTGGAAAGCTGTCATTTTGAAGTAATCAACGAAAGAACGCCTTTCCAACGGTGCTTCTTAAGACGCACCGTAGGAAAATTTAAATTAGTAGTTCGTTTTGTTATTCGGCGAAGCGCGCGCAAGCATTGGCACGACGCACACGCACCCCTGGTTGCTATAATTCGTCAGATCAGTGCGCGACATCGCGTAGCTGCATTCGGCTCAGCGAGAACGTGTCTCGGACGCTGAATTCAGGCGCAATTCCAAACATGATTCAGCAACTTTTGATTTGAAATTGAGATCCTAGAATGCTGTTTTTCTCATAATATACAGCTGAAGCTGAGCTGAAACTCCATCAGGTTAGTTGTTCAGCACCCCTCTTTAGATTCTGAGCACTTTTGTTGCTTCAAACGAACAAAATGCACAAATTACAAATGATGGACTATAACTTTAAATACCCACCGACCACAGAAAGCTGTTTTTAATTCAGATCAATTGATATACAATTGTAAATTACTGACAATAGAATAATATTTCTTTGAAAAACGAAAATAATTTTAAATTTACGGTTTGCAAGAATTATAACCCAAGGCTCACATACAGAAACATATACCCGCTTTATTTTAATATAGGTTTTCCCTGGCTATTTTAAAACATTAAGCATTCGAATTCACCGTTTTTGATATTCAAAGTCTTCCATCAACATCAATTTAGTGCATTTCCAATGTTTAATTTCGTCTCGTCAAACAATTTCAATTGTTGTTCAATCGGATTCAATCCACGAACACCCATTTTCGGCGAAGAGTATTCGATTTTGTCGCGTCTTTGCCGAACAGTTTTATTCAGAAATCAAATTCATCTTTTGCCACACAATGTAATGATAAGTTCGTTCAATTTCGTAACAGTTCATTGCGACATCCTCTGCAGAAAACATAAAGGTCGCAGAAGAGGATATTTTCCCCACTGTTTTTCTGTTATTTCCCTGTTATTAATAAATATATAGGCGTATTGCTTGTTTCTTTTCAATCGATTTTCTTTAAAACACATTTTTATAGTCTCATTATACAATGTAACATAGAAAAATTAGTATCATCGACTGTTTTTTTTTTTACATGGTCGTCTTTATTTTTTTACTCGTGTAATGCCCAAAGTTGCAGCCACTTGGATGTAGTCCATGGCATCGTGTTCAAAGGATTCAATAAGTTGTATCTTGTCTTGGTTTATACCCTCGGACACAAGAAACAGGGCAAATAACACACGCTTGACTAATTTACTTAACAACAGTTTTAAATTGATTGGCATAAGACGAATTTAATCTCTGAATGCTGCCATTTTGCTACAGCTTAGACGAATCTGATCTGTAATGACGACTATTTTTGACACTGTGTTTAAATGTGGTGACAAAACTTTGAAATTGAATGGTATATGATTAAATCGCTTTGGTAAAATCGTGACCAGAATTTTTTTTCTCAGACGAAATTGAATGTTAGAGTTGGTGAATTTGAATGAAAAATGTTTTAAAATAGCCGGAAAACCTGTACACAACATCAGCATTTCTGACCCTATACATTTCAAAAGTTAGCCATCGAAAGGTTCCCGTGTCATGAAACTAATTAGATATTATAGAAAGCGAGTAAGAATAATGGCATGTATATACCACATGACAGGGTAATATAGAATGAGCCAAACGCCAAAGCGAATGTATAATATCAGTCCTAAAATATTTAGATAAGGTCATATACCGGGGAATGTGTTGTAAGAAAATTCAGGGGCAACATTCAAATTGTTAGCAAAGAGCTATTTTCAATTATCAAAACGCATTCAAACAAAATTACAATTCATCGCAATAAATTTTGTTCAGGAAATTATATACAAAAAAAAAAAAAAATGAGTATTTCAAAAACATTTCTCTTCGTGGTTGTTTTGACTCGACTTCAAAATGAAAGACTGAATTCATTTCCTCTGAATACTTTGTACTCTTTAAATGAAAAACAGAAAGTTTATGGTTTAAAACGGTGGAAAGTGTATTGTACAGCATCAGACATAATAAAAACAAAACACGTTTTTATAGACTCTCTGGCCAAACAGCTGAAGAATTATGCTCAAATATGGAATCTTAATACTGAAAAAAATACAAAATACAAATCTTGTAATTTCACCTACAACACCTAGGAACCTAATACGCTGTTTACATATCGGCTTTTATAATCACTTGTTTCATGGAGATTTGGTTTTGGAATTCAGTTTATACTGCCACCTAGCCAAATTTCCACGTTCTTACTATCCATCTATAAAAATAAAAAACCTATACTATAAAAATAAAAATTAAGGTATTGAACAACGTTTGCTCACTTTCTCGCGGTTTTTAGATGTTCTTCGTGCAGGAATCACTTTATAGATAGGCCTATAAAGACTTTTCTCTTTTTTTTTTACTACTTTCAACTACAAACTAGCTAATATTCAGTAGAATTAGAATGAAATTGCATTGATACATTAAAGTATAAAGATTTCAAATTATAAGTGACTAAGTTCACGTAACAGGCATGACATTTTTCCAGACTTTTTTCTCAATTCAAACTTTTTTAATCTTAGAGGAAGATATTTTCAGCATAGCAGGAAATGCATCTTTTAGACCTTTACCCCTTAGAGCCGCAAGACCAAAAAAATTACGCAGTGGACCCACATGGAGATTTTCATACCACCCAGTTTTTTATGTCAATAGCCCCCTCCTGCAAGCCCAAAACAATTTTAATCACCATAAATGGTGAATTGGAGTTCCAGACAAGACTTAGATGGCCATTTGATGTTATCTTAGAATTTGTATGTCCGTTTATATCCGGTTTTCTATTATTCTTGGGCAATCTCATTCATGAAGAATAAGCTTAATCATAATATTCCCGATAGGTAGTATACATGCATAACGGTAACAAAATAGTTCAACATGCAATACATCATAAAATTATCTGCTCTTCTGAGAATATTTTCGTTATTTACAATATTCGCAGTTTTCCATTCTGTACAAATAGTGGCATATCGTCTATGTCGCATGGTTCCACCTTGTAGGCCCTATCGTATTTCAGAATATTTCCCTTTTAAAAAAAAGTATACATGAGTTTCGGTTTTTGGAGGTTCTGTGGAAAAACGATTGTGTATTGGTTTGTTTCTAGCACGCTGCATGTTTTCCTCGTGGTGTTAAAGGTTTGATTGCTCCTTTGCTCGAATTCAAGGATTACAAGCAAAGGTCTCATTATGTAATCACTGCATTCGTGTCCGAGCCGTTTATATAATGGTTGGCCCATTTGGGTTATCCCGTCTTATGCTTAGACCAACGCGAAGCTTCTTGAGGTGTTCCAACCCTTCCACATAGTGCAACCACGATTCTGACTCTTTAAGGCCAGTGTTCCCCAAAAGATCAAGGTTGGTCAAGTTTGGCATATTCTTTGCGCATTCTGCGAAGCATCTCACGTCGTCCGACTCAAGTGAGCATCTGCTCATGTCAAGACTCTGAATCTGATTCATTAAACACAGGTGGCGGTGCCAGAACTGACCTGATCCACCCAATGCCTGATTGCCACAAAGGGTCAAGTCAGTCAAACTTGTCATAGCAGCTAAGGCCGGCGCAATGTGTTCAACATCTTCACATTGCAGTGAGCAATCTTTCAAGGTCAGCCTATGTACCTGTAGTATTTGTGAAAAGTGATGGGACCACAACTTGGCCGACCCACCCAGTGCTTCATTACCGAATAGGTTAAGGTCAGTCAGACTAGGCATGTCACTTACTGAGGAGGCAATGTGTCCAATGTCTGAGGCTTGCAGGTTACAGATCGCTATGCTAAGTTTTTGGATGTGTTTCAGGGATTTTAGATGAGGCGCCCACTGCACAGCTTGACCACCCAGCTTTTCAGAGCGATATATGAATAGTTCAACTAAACCCACGTTGCTATTCAGTGACAGTAACATTCTGCTCAGATTAGAATGATCCAAGGGGCAGCTGCACAGAAACAGTCGTGTGAGATGTTTCATGTGGCTCAGAGCAAAATCCAAGGAATTCACCGAATGAATCTGATTAAGAAGAATGCATTTGACGTGCGCCAGCAATTCCTCACATTTCTCTGACCCACAGACGATCTGCAGAAGGTAAACTAGGCTATGAAAATCTTCGGTGTTACTTATTTTGGTGTTTGACGGGATCATTTTTGTTATATCGGGTACATGTGGCATTTTATTTGAGTTACTGTCGAACAAACAACTTCGACTGAGTGCTGCAATTGCATCAAAAACTGGGTACTCTTTCAAAGAATTATCCAGCTGTTTCAAGACTGAGGCCAAACACTGCTCATTGTCAACGGAACAAAAACGAAGTAGGTATTTCAGGGAGTTAATGCTCTCAACTGATGCGCACACGAGCTTTAATGACTCTGTCAACTCATTCTGCCGATTTGAAGCTTGTAGACTCTTCAAGTATGCTGCTGCACAATATTCCTGAATTACCTTATGCACGAATTGTGTATTGTTGTGAGTCCTCAGGGTTTTGAAAACTCGATATTGTGTTAGGATGCCTGCCTGTAGTGCGACGTTTAGCGCATTTGGTTCAAACTCATCTTCTTGAAATGACAGTTTCAGGTCGTGATCGAGGAGACCACGCAGAGCAGTTTTTCCTATTTCGAGCAAAACGCCTTTTTTTGTTAGAACTGGTAAGTCTAATACAGCTAACCTTCTCGTGAGCATGTACTCAACTGCCTGTTCAAAGAGGCGTGGCGTTGTTTCTGGAAGTTTTTTATTCTTCCTCCACAACATACACATTAGCAGCAGCAGCAATGGTTTTTTCGCCAAATCACGCAGCTCGGAGGAATTGTCAATGATTATCATGAGTTGCTTTCCAATGTTGGGATTCATATGGAAAAATCTCTTGACATACTCCTGTACTTTGTCTATAGCAAAGCCCATAACCTCGACATGTATGCAAGGATTTTGTATCAACGATCCTGTCGTAAGTCTGTGCAGATGAGAGGGGCGGGTTGTAACACCAAAGAAACATCCCCGATATTTTGAATTATTAAGTGCTCGTAGGATTGAACCAAACCGAGCCCTTTCAAGGGTTTGCGTTCCTAACTCGTCAAAACCGTCCAAAAGGACCAGTACTTCGCTTTCGTTGTCTTTTATAATTCTGTCCAGTTCATCGCTTGATACCCCCGAATCACCAAGGAGCTGATCATGTATCGAATCCACCAAGTCTGAACTTTGGTCAAGGGCACCCATCCTTAGTACAAAGACAAGTTTGAACCTAGTGAGAACCACACTTGACCCTTCGGCCCAATCATAAGCTATCTTATCAATAATAGTTGACTTCCCTGCACCGCCCTCGCCGATGAAAATAACGCGCCTAATGATAACTGCCTCACTTGTCTCTGCTTGGAATATTCTGTTATACTCAGTTGAATTTATAATTTCTTCCTTTTGCTTATCAGTGGCACATCCATTTACTTCCGCTGCAGTGTCTTTTATGATCAATTGTAATATTGTGTGTATGCGCTTCGTATGCATGGTATCATCGTCAACCTGCGGCATCAATTGAACATAACCACAATGATTCTTGTACCATTCCACTAAAACCTTTCTAATCTTGTCTAAGGCTTCCTTCGAATTTGGAGGACGCTGTAATTGCTCTTCTATGGATATAAAACAAAAGATGTGAACGTTAATAAACAATTGCAGTTGCCGCTTGTAGTGAAAAGAAGTTTGGTATTTCGTGAGGAAATGAGGAAATGCGATTCACTATGCGTTGGTAACGCATTATAATTTGTTTGTGGCAAGCGAACCGAATCCTACAAATAGTTTTGTCCGTGCATTTTATAAAATCTTATCAACTAAGCCCTCATACTTAAACATTGCAGTCGAAATAAACAGTATGCAATGTGAGTGCCTACCTGTGGTTCTTGGATTGAAATTCGAATGGTCCACTGGTCCGACAAAAACTGGACCGCTTGGATAGTGGACAACCACTGTTGAATAAATATAAAATGAACAAGCAGTGGCATATGCCGAAGTAATAAACAAAACAATTAGACAATCAAATTAACCCCATCTCAATCAGTTTTAGTGCCTTACATGAAGCGGAGTAATAATTGTGTTGCTTTAAATGAAAACAAAAAATGCACAGAAAGCAAACAATTATTTACCTTGACTGACACCTGGAGATAAGGGTTCTGGACTTGCGGCTTGGTTAGCAGTGTTGCCACTGCTCTGATCTCCGTTGTCGGCTGGATAATTATAAGGTGAACAACTCTTACTGATAGTATAAACAAGCTGCTAAGTTTTTGGTTTACACTGTCGCGAACGGCGCAGACTGGTATGCGTGTCTATGGACCTTAGTCAAGCTGCCACCATTTCAGTCATATTCCTTGTATCCAAAAACCGAACTGAATTTAATTTTTTTTTGTGCAAAAAGAACCAGACTCTTTTCCTTCCAGATCCAGCCTTGCTTTGGTTACATTGATTTGAATGGCAAAAGACTTAAGATGGCCGCTACATGTTGTCGGTCTAATCTTCATCAGAACAATATGTTGTGTAGAAAATAGTGTGAATGTGCGTGACCCACTTGGTAACCAGTGGCGTATCCAGCTTTTGGTGTCGGGGAGGGGCGGGGCGGTTGGCAACCGCAACCGCACATCTGTGTCAAAATGTAGACATTTTGTTTCTCCGGACACTTAACTAGCCTCCGTAAAATAAAAAAGCCGGGTTCCCATTTTCCAAATAGGGGCGCCCTTCAAAACTGACCATTATTATGCATATTGGAAAATATACGCCAATTTTCACGGCGCATTGCAATGCTTTAATAATATAAGGAGCTTTTTTCCGTGTCAGAACTCCCTAACATTTTATGAAAATAGTTACTGAAAAAAAAATCTTTTAAAAAAATCCTCAAGGGGATACGCCACTGAGGGTGACAGCTTAAGTCATGCGCTGCCTTAGCTTGCCTGGTGTGAAGTAGATTTGGTTTGCTCGCCTCGTTTGATATAGTAAGCCCAATAGTGGAAATTAAAAAAGGGATCTTCACATGATGCAATAATTACCTGGTTCAAATACCCGGCATGCCTGATCGTAGCTACTACGCGGTATGTTCACCTGGATGGCCAAGGTGCTGCGGTTCTCTGGTGTCAATTCTTCAGTGATGAACGTTTGTGTCAGTGTATTTGCCAGGTCGTTGGAGGTGTACGAAGCCCATAGCTTGTCCAAACCCTCACGGCTGTTAACACGCGCGATAAATTTGATACATCCATCCTCGACGCCGTCAACCTTTACAATAGTTAGCCCTAAACATTCCTGGGATATAGACTTCAGATATCCTTCTTCGTCTCTTACCAACTTTAAATCCACAATAGCCCTTAAAATCCGTGTCAAGCGAACGTCTTCCTTTTCATCTCTTGTTACACGTGCTAACACTGGTACCTCTGCAGAAGAAAAAGTCCCCCGAGACAACCAAAACATAATTCCACTGAAAAAAGAATCATCTTTGACCTCACAACGGTTACGTACGTGTTTTTTCCTATTGCATCTATATCACATAACGCATGTTGTTGCTGGTATTGTATTTGCACATTTCGCTGTACTAATAGTGAAATTGAAAATAATGATGCTATTTTTTTTCTACGTAATTCGAGAATGGGGGAGGGATTGGGATGACATAAATCAAAATTCGAAAGCAGGACGGGATGGGGGATCGGAAGGAGGGGGAGGAAGGGTGGGGGGGGGGAGGATTTGCTGGACACCAAATGACACTGGGGCGCTGTTCATGGTGATTCGTTGTTATGTCCCCTAATCTGAACAGTATCTTCCTGAAATGATATCACAGCAACAACGCCCTCAGTTGTCCGGAAAAACACGGACATTCAAATGTTTAAAAAAGTGCACTTTTCAATAACATTAAGCAAAAAGTTTTTAAAAAATAGTTTTCATACATTTATAAGTAAAATTGTTGAACAAAATGTGTTCCTGAGAAAAAGTCATCACTTGGACCCTTGAAATGTACTTACCACGTTCCCTAACACCTCCCATCAGACCAGAAACAAGACGTAGCTCTATGTTGGTATCTTGCTGAATCCCACATTCCTCAAGGGAGACGGCATCAGAAAGCTGATAAAAGAGATAAGACAGAAAAGTAGCCAAGACTTATCAGCCCTTCGGAGAACACATTTTATCACATGATTGATAAAAGTCATTATACTCAACGCAAACATAATTATTGGTTTGAGTATGTAACATTTATAATGTTGCATTCTTTGTTGATTGATTGTGTGGATAGTGGTCATTGGTATCACTATATAGTGGTTATTGTTATCACTGCTCATTGTGGAGTTATTATGGTGAACAGGGGTATCGCCTAAGGTTTGCCCTACTTTTTTGGTATTCCGGTAAACTTGTAACTTGTATGTGCACAAACCTCCAACGACCGTTGTATTACAAGTTTACCGGAATACATGGTCATGGGCTTATCACTGAATATATGTAGTGGTCATAGGTATCACTATCTGAATACATGTAGTGGTCATGAATCATTATCTGAATACATGTTGTGGTCTTAAATTAAACATGAAGCTGTGTTACACAACCACTCAACTTAAGTGTCTGTCTACCTTAATTGGAGTTTGAGTATAAGCACTGAGATTGGTGCAAGTGACATGAAGCATTTTATTTCTAAAGGAAACATGATTCTTTAAATTAACCTACTTCAATGTTTCGCATGGTGAAAAGATGCTGGTTCTTCAGGTTGACTCCCATTTTGTCTTGCAGTAATTCTTTTAAAGTAGAGATAGTGGTTGATGGATGCAGTTGCAGACATAAAGGGGATCGCAACGGACTATTCACAAAAACCTGGATCGGGCGTCCTCCCTTCTCTTCACTGTAGAAGTAGAAGAATAGGGAGGTATTTCATCCATTAAAAGACATCGTGTTTGAAAACATTGTCAAAAGATATTTTACTCCTAGCGTGTGTTTGGTCTATGTATTCTGTGGGCAACAAGATGGGGGTATTACTTAAGAACGTTACTTCTAGTTAGAGCTAGAGATAAACTTACTTAGACATTTCATTTAGATGAGGTAACAGTAATTGAGATAATAGAGGCATTTCATTAACGTTTTCTCAAAGAGACGTAACCTGTGATAAGCTATAAAATAATGACTATAGAAGGGCTAGGAAAGCCTGCTAAAACACTTCAACAAACACTTTACGTGGGAAGTTCTTTTCACATGCCAGAGAGAAGTTCTAACAGAACAAAAGAGATCCGTTCACACCTGTCTCTCTGGTCTGTTGATACTGAGGAGGTTCGAGAGTTCGAAGCATTAGCAGATTTCCCTTGCCTCAAACTGTCTGTGCTTCTCTCTCCCTTGGGGTGATTGAACTTAGCGGCAGCCTCCTCCTTTCTTCTTCCTATCAAAATAATAGTATATAAACGAAATGATTACAAGTTGAAAATGTAAAAAGTTGCTTAATTTTATTACCTATGATTTCATCAGTGTTTGTTTATTTGTTTGTTTGCAGACCATTCTCATTTCGCTTTACCAAATCGAATTGATAATTCAAATATTCGGTATTTTATTTCCAAATTGATCTAAAGTAGATATTTGAATATAAGATGTCTCATGCCATTGTGAATTTGACAACATAACTTCCAACATCCTAAAGCTATTTGTGCTATTTACCTTTTGCATTCGAGACATCAGGAACCTTAGCCTCTTGGTGCTTCTCGCTAGATTCATTACGGATAGGTTGATCAATTTGGAGATTCTTAACACTGGTCTCTTCTTCGGAATGTCCTGTATTGAGATATGTTATTGATTCATTACAAATATTTTTTTAACCATGAATCAGCAGACATTACTTATTTAACCTCTTTGTTTCTACTTTTCGAAAGCTCGTTGAAGAAAAATCTCTCAGTCCATATGAACAGATGTTTTCCACAATCGTGGGAGTTTGTACATAATGTCAAGGTGTGTCGGTGTGAAAGAAACATCTGTCTGTAATTTTGGTGGTAAAGTTTAATACTGAGTGGGGGTGTTTAACATGTTTCAACATTGTTAAAAACGAGTGTCTTGGTCAGCGCCTAGCTATTAGTCTTTACAACAAAGTGAAATATATGCCATCTTATTAAACATTGCAGCATGCTTGGCAGTTATAATGTCAACTAATTTTACCAGCGTATCATGAAAAGAGCATTACAACTTTTCTTGTGTAACCGTACTTCTTTTGATTGTCGTTGCATGTCGCTGCAGGATTTTGTTCTTTCATCTCGGTCATCAGATTGTGGTGTCATTACTCCTTCACTGTCTTGTGTATTTTTATTTTTTTTTTGACAAGAGAGTGAAGAAACAATTTTGCGAGACACAATTTCATATACTAAACTTAACGTCCGCATGAGCGTCTTCTTGCCTGTGTCGAGCTTGAGGATGCAGCCCATCTTATTCTCACTGATAAACGATTGAAGTAAATAACAGGAAATATTTTGCTTGCGAAACTGCACACTATTTCGTATTTAACCGAAATGTGAACTTTTATTGATATTCGTACCTTTAACAGTAGACGAATGAGATTGCCCAGATTTTTCGGGGTATTCAGAATCGTCTTGTCTGTCACAATCAGCTGTTTGGGAGTCTGATCTGCTTTCTTGATTAGCATGTTGAGATGTGGTGTCAGGCATGTTTCGTTTTTGCCCTACACAATATTGAAAGACACTCGGTATTTTAATAGTCATTCAAAAAATAACTTGTTTTTTTACACCATTTCAAATCAACATAATGTATTTATTTCTAAATTCAATTAATGAAACATTCTTTATATATTTATTCCTCGACCTTATAATACAGGGTGAGTAAAAAGAACCCGAAACCCAAATGTCAGGATTATTGCTTTAGTGAAGTTCTGCATGTAGCACTTTCAAAATTAAGAATATGAAAGACCAATTCATAAGCTTTCTTTTAGTAAAAGTATCATTCAAATCACTCATGTAAGTTTTAAGTTACGGAATATTAAACACAACAACCGATTTGAATTAGGCCTTCTTGTACTAAAAGCAAGCTTATGAATTGGGCTTTCATATCTAAGAATTTAAAAGTGATGCATGCAGAACTGAACTTAAACAATAGTCCCGACATTTGGGTTTCGATATTTGTGACTCTTCCTGTAGAGTCTTTGTGCGTTCTTTTAACAGGAAGAGCAAATGTGGAGTTGGGCGTCTTTTGTCAGTACTTTAGTAAGACAATGTTGCTTTTAATCTACGGTTACCCAACTATTGCCTTGGAATGATTTACCAAGTAAGACTAGCATGCCTCGCAATGCAGTACCGTTTTACACTGTGCCACATTGTCGCTAAAATTAAGAGTTCTTAAAGGTCAGGTGATTAAGTATTCCTTTGAAGGATACTAAACATCATAAGTCTTACAATAACTATTTGTAAACAGAAATGATCTTTCGATATCTATTAATAAAGGGGAGATGGTCAGGGCTATAACATCCATGGCGACTTCATCCCAAGGTTCCAATTTTTTTTTTAGAAAAGTTCCTGAAATGTGCTTTCGTTCTGCTGCTCAAATTTCTTTACAGTTAAGAACAAAATTCAATGCACCGAAATGTCTAATTACTTTTCTTCCTGCTTCTTCTATTGCTCCCGGTTTTCTTCTGTGGTATTTCCTCTGTGTATTGAAAAAAAAATTTGGTATACGTTACAAGTTATAAGATTATAATACCATAGCAAAATGTCACAATATCAATTTATTATGTAACATGAAATAATATATTCGGCTTTCAATATTATTTGAAATGTTTCAATATCATCTTCTGACCAAAATAAGAGTGTCTAACTTTAACACAAAATACAGAACTGACGGTACTACTTTTAAATTAAATCTAAAAAAGTAAGGCGGCCTGATGTTACGATCTCAACAAGATCTTCTTCAGTGGCCCAAAAAGTAAACTAATTTATTTATAATTGTTTTGGTAAATTCTAGTTATATATTTTTCAATTCAGGGTTTATTGTTTACGTGTCATGACAAATATGGAAATAATAATAATAATAATAATAACGAAGTTTTATAAAGCGCACATATCCACCAAGGTGCTCAGGGCGCTATTACAATGAAAACGAAACAAAACAAAATCAGTTTAATTACGAAAAAACGGATCTTTCAACATGAGGTGTAATATATACCAGGTGGTTCTTCCACAATACTCTAAGAACCTATATAGGAAGGTTAGTTTGGAAAAAGGAAGCACTATCTTTAATTTTATTAGTAAAATTTAATGCAGAGGTGAAGGGGTGTAACTTAGTTCGATATTGTTCAAACAAGCGTCTTGGTTATCGCCAAGCTATTTCTCATTAAAAAAAGAGGTATTTTAGGTAATAGGTATGCCATCTGCTTCAGAGTTGTTGTAAGTTTGGTAAATGTATTTACCAGCACAAACGATGAGGCAGAGAGCATCGTCCGACCCAGAGGTTTTTGTTTTTTCATATCGATCATCACTTTGTGGAGTATTCACTCCTTCGCTCTCTTGTCCAGTATAGGTTTGTCCTGTTAAAGAAAAGAAATAATTCCGAGGTAGGTTCTAACACTTACTTAAACAAAGTTATGGTGTATATCTGTCCGTTGGCATGTAGTGTCATCTATCATAAATTTGTACCTAACGTGGTAGCTCAAGGGGAGTACAGAAGCCGACGATGACTAATACATGTATGGAAAATAACAGGGAAATATTTTTTCTTTTCAAACAGCATGCCGGACGTAGAATATGCAATCATCATGGACAATAATTTATAGCTATGTGGTTTGAAAGATACGTCTTCCCACCTTATTAATGATACATCAAACGTTTTTTTATTTTTTTTTTACAGATTACGAGTAATTTTTCTAGAGAGGTCAAATTGACCATGGGTCTAAGTTTTGAATTTCAGGCACTGGGACAAAGGTTGCCTAATTGCTTTTGTGGATATAAAACTGGCCTAAAAAAACTGTCTTTAGTGAGTAAACACAATTCTAAACACTTTCTTGCTAACACATCATATTAAACATGTTTAGCTTGTCAATATGTTTACAAAATGATAGCAAGATAGTGTTAAGAATTGTGTTTATTTGCTTAACACAATTTTTTTGTAGGCCGGGCAATCATCCACACAGAGGCAATTAGGATACCTCCGTCCCAATGCCTAAAATCGAAAACTTGGTCCCATGGTCAATTTGACCTCTCTTGGAAAATTACTCATAACTCTATCAAACATTATCAGATTTGGACGTTTGATGTTTCATTTGAAGGAGGAAAGACCTATGTTTTAAAGCATACATATATTATCTATTTTGATTAACGATTTCACGTCTGGCATTCCGTTATATTTTGTTTGCATTTTTGTACCCACTGTATAGAAGCGAGCTATGAACTTATTGATATTCATAAATTACACAGAAGACGAATGAGATTGTCATTTTTTTGGAATGTTCAGATTCGTCGTCTCTCACGATAAGCTTTTCGGGAATAGGCTATGTTCTGCTTTTTTCGTCAGCATTATTAGGTGTTGTGTTAGCCATGTTTCGATTTTTTTCCACAAAGTATAATAAAACCACATTTACTTAGAGCGACAAACACAATTTTGTTATTCCTCAATTACGTTTCAAGTTTCAATGCAACGTTCAATTCTCTTTAAGAATTCACACAAAATTATACGTTTCATGCGTGAGCTTCTAAATTTGAAAAGAAAAGTTGAAAAGGACTTACCACAAACTGTTTGATGTTTAGCAGTCGAAGCAGTTGAGGTATAAATGCAAAACACCTGTACACCTGTTAAAGGTGAAACCAGATGAATATAGCTTTAATTAAAAACGGTTCAACGACATGACCTACGACTGGTTATCACAATCTGAGTGAAAGATTTCCAACCTTCAACAATCATAGAAACAAAAAAGGGTGAAAAAAATCCCCAAAGTTTTGGCATGAAATGTGAAGAAATATACTTAAAAACAATTGGTTATCCTAATGACTCCAAATATCCCTCTGGCGTATTCCCTAATGTCCCTGAAACACTAACATTGTGTGAAGAGGGTATATGCGCAGTATCTGTTAAGCGCATGCCGCCAATTGTTCATGACGTTTAGAAATGTGCGATTGTCTCCCATACCTTTTTATTATGAGATTATGTCACAATGCATGTATTTTGACAAAATCCTTTATACAGGTCTGCAATTTCTCATAGTTAAAAGTAAGTTTATTCTACAAGCTACACTGTCATGTGTAGTAACTGTTGCTGTCTCCAACAGCTTTTATAATTGTTGGCATATTTGCTCTGTTTTTTTCCATTCAATCAGCCCCCCTCTGTGGCAATTAAAACACTTAAAAACTTGGGGTATTGCAAAAGTTGGGATCCTGAGCAGGATCCTAGCACTAATTATTCATAGATTGGACCAATCACATCCAAGAGTTTAGACTAATCAGCAGACAGCTTGAAGCACTAATGATATGTAACAGTGACACAATGCATGCACATGTACTGCATGTACTATATGTGGGTCATTCTGTCACAGCATTTTGAGCAAGCTGGATCAATTTGCCCACCACCACCCTTGCTCCTGCCTTCTCTTAAAGGTTTCATTAAAAGTGGCGTTTTAACAGGATTCGAAGACAGCCATCTCCTAATACATACATGTACATGATTGGACATGTATCATTATTGTTATGGTTATTGTCACCAGTTGATATTGTCACGGATATTGATGTGTGTTATAACACATTGTGATGTTAACTTTGTAAGGGGTCAGCCATTCTCTCTTATGTACCCACGGGTTTGGGTGTGCTGTATCTTCCATAACACAACCATGGCTGTCCCCAAAATGATGACCAGATCATTTGGTTCTGGCATGATTACTTCTGGGCCTGGGTGACCATGCATTCATTAATAATTGGCCTGGGTGCCAAATGGTAATTGATGTACATGTACATTGGACCTGGGTGTCCCTTGATTAATGAGGTTGATATGCTTGGGCCTGGTAGCCCATATATATTATTCCTGAGGCCAGCTTGCCCAAACACATTCGGTATATGGCAAATAGGTTTCAATAAATTGTTTGAAGCTGTGGCAAGACACACAAATAGTTATGTTTTGGGTTTCATTTATTAGTGAGTCCGAGTATAATATTATTATTATTATTTTTTTTTTTTTTAGATTTTGCCATCACAAGACCGTGAAGGGCTACTCAAAGTTAGGGTTTCATCATAAAGGGATAAAAAACAAAATCAAAGAATAAACGTTGGGACAGAACAAATTCAAATGAAAAAAACAAACCACAGATAAGGAGTTCAATATCTTGCTGTTTTTTCTGATACTTGTCAAATACTCTACTTACAGTTCTTCATCCTCCTTGGCTTCTTCCCTGTTTAGAAAAAAAATCATCCAAACTTGTTAGGACAATTTTACTCACAAATTTCGTAAAACCGATCGTCGTTATACCCCACAGTATTGTTTACATACAAATACTCGAGGTTGTCTATTTTGGTGTGCCAATTTAAAGTTGTATGAACTCTAATTTGATTAAGTGTTATCCGCTTAAAGAGTGATAAAAAACCCACTTGTTTCATAATTAAGGCTTACACCTTTGGACTCGCCTGTTGAAGAGTAGGTAATAAAACTGAGTATACACAATATTAACTGTATATCTTATGTGCAACGAAACAGTCTATAATATTTTCCATGGTGGGCATAATGAAAACCCCACCCCTTTTATCTAATATGGTTGCCACGCCCCTAAAAGGGTGTGTTCAAGATGGCTCTACATCAGGATTTTTTCTCTTCATAAATATTAAAGTCTGTGAGATGTTTTATTCGTTCATAAATTATGGGCAAAGTTTTTCCGAAGGTGGGCATAATAATTACCCCCTTTTTTTTTTAAATGGCTGCCATACCCCCAAAAAGGTACTTTTGTGGTGGCTCCAAATCTGGAAAACACTTATAATCGATATAATTATGTCTTTGTGAAATTTCCTTCTCTTGTGACAAGTGGGAACAACCGTTTTCACTGCGGTCACGACAAGTCCAGCCCCCCCCTTTAAAATTAATGCCACGCCCCTAAAAGGGTAAATTTGCGATAGCTCCACATCTAAAACATTTGCTCGCATGATTATGAACATCTGCGCCAAGTTTCATGCTTTTATGCAAAAGTGCACACTTTTTCAAATATTCGCTGGACTATAACTGAAATTATTAGAAATAACAAAGAGACGACTTTACAATTAATTCAACTGTGGGTTACAATTTCGTTTGACTGTGCATTGTTTTTTTTTATAGATGGTCGGGGATATACAATGCATGTCGACTCAATCCATGGGATACCTTTCATTGAGATGACTTTCAATTCTTAGGGATTATCAAGTGAATGGTCCTTTTGTTCCTCACACTGAGATAGATTTTGTTTTGGAATTCAGACAATAGTATGAGCTGCAAAACTCTACTCACTTTTCTTCCTCTTTGTCGTATTGTTCCTGGTCATCCTCTCTGGCCTTTTTTCTGCGTACATTGAAAAGGACATTTACAAAATAATTGAAGGTACACTGAAGTTATATTATTGCTTCAGTAGTATACTATCAACGTACTATAAAAAAACAGATCGGGCATTCAATATTATTTGATTTTTTTCAGACTAAAAGTGATAGTGTCTCTCTCACTGAATGCTATCATAGGGCGACCTTCCCATAGACTTGTGCACAAATATATAATGACAATATTACCCAAGTTTACCTTATCTTGCCTCCACGAATTTCGGTATAGTTATTTTTTTTGGACCACGAGGAATCGATCTAGACGGTTTGCGACAATACATTCCTAAAAGTGCGTTTGAACAAACGGGCGACAACATTAGTTATCGCCCAAGCCATGTCGCTATAATACTGACACGACAATCTATAGATCACGAGTTATGTATCACGAATTGACTTCAACGCCTCATCGACACCCCTCCCTCTCCTCTTAGAAAATCGTTGACCTGAACACCCAAGCACACGTCCCCCTTCCATGTTTGGAAAATGCTTGATCCATTACTGGAACTCGCTCCTTACGTTTCCTCTTCATTCTTCTTTTGTTCCTGAACTTTTTATGTGGCCTTTTCCCTGTGAATTGGAAAGGACATTAACGAGTAAGTGACAAATATTAGTTGTACAATATATATATAATTATATAAGGATAATATAATATATATAATATATAAGGATAAAAAAAAGAGCTGAATGGGCTTACATTATTTGAATATCCACGGACTAAAAGTGTTATTGTCTTTTTATTTTGCCACAAAACACATAGTAGATAGGTGGTACATTTTAGTGTTCAGTTTTATTTTTTTGTTTTAATTGGTGAACTTTATCCAATACCCCCGGGGGGGGGGGGGGGGGGGTGATTGGGGTAGGTAACCCCGTCCCTTCGCTAAATCACTGTTTGCAATGTAATTTACAGTTTTTTTAACAGCGTGTGATCAGACAACAAGATAGTGTTACCGTAGTTCTCTTGCTTCTCATCGTCAGGGCCTAAGGATTCTGCTCTTTCATCTCGGTCATCAGATTTTGGAGTTGTTACTCCTTCGCTCTCTTGTCCAGTGTTGGTTTGTTCTGTTAGAGATAAGATATTACGAGGTAACACTTCTTGATTCAAACATGACGAACATATCTATCGAATAGGGCTGTTTACCTTAACTTCGCAGACCTACCTAACGTTTTAGCTCCTGGAGAGCACAGTTGTAAACCGATAACCAATACATGTATTGAAAATAACAGAGGGAACATTTTGCTTTCCAAACAACACGATTTTTCGTTTTTAAGCGAACTATGCACTGTTATTGATATTCGTACCTTCTACAGAAGAAGAATGAGAGTCCCCCGATTGGTCGGAGTATTCAGAATTACCCTGTCCTTCAGCCGTTGGGGAATCTGTTCTGCTTTCTTCCCCAGTTTGAGTTGAGGTGTGAGACCAATTTCGTTTTGGGCCTACATGGAAAAACTTTGGGCCTAGTATGGAAAAACAACTGATATTAGGCCATGCAAGAAAATACTCTGCTTTAAATTTACACTCAACCAAAAAAAAGAAAGTCCCCCCTTTCAATACTTTGTTGTCTAACTCAAAACTACTGAGCACCTCTCGCTCAAATAACGACTGATTAGGACAGAAATTCCTTAGCAATCCAGCCATACTCTTCATTTTGCCCAAAACAGTGATAATGTGTTCTAATGTATGCAATTTAGGACAGATGATACCGAAAATAGTGGCACTTGAATACGTGCAAGTTGTGCATGTGGTTCACACTCACCTTGCATGTATACAATAGTGCAACTGTTTTTGGTACCATTTGTCATCAATTGCGTAAATTCGTACACATTATCACTGTTTTGGGCAAAATAAAGAGTATGGCTGGATTGCTAAGGAATTTCTAAACTGATTGGTTGTTATTTGAGCAAGCAGTACTCAGTAGGTTTTGAGTTAGACAAAAAATAATTGGAAGGGGGAATTACTTTTAGGGGTGAGTGTAGCTTATGATAGTTCTTTTTGTCCTGGGCTGCAAAGGTGACTTACATTTTCTCTTCCTCCCGCTTTTCTTTGTAGTTTTCATCTTCTTTGTCTTCCTCTTTGGCCTTGCGTCTGCATTAGGGTTGAAAGAATGATAAAACAATTTGAAAAATTTCCAAGAACAATTGTTCAACATCGTGATAACAACTTTGTTTTTAAAAAAGAAAGTAAGGATCTTTTGATATAATTTAATCATATTTTGTTTCAAGGTAACATGGGAAGATTGTGTTTATATTCATTTCCAACGATTCTTTGTAATATTCCTTGCATTTAAGTCAAATGATATACAACCAGGCGCGGATGTGCAGTGGGGCCGGGGGGAGGGGGGCTAGGGGGTATTAGCCCCCCCCCCCCCCAAAAAAAAAAAACCCAACCACATGTTGTTTAGCGCCCCCCCCCCCCCAAGCTGCCAAACAAAAATGAAACGGCAGTAGTGAATGTTAGAAGATGACGTCAAATTTGTATTTGTACACTATTAGGTAATAAGTAATATACTGCTTTAGGTCTACATTACGTCGCTTCGTGAATTGGAAAAGTCCAGATTTTATCTTGCGATAACATTTCTCCCATTTCACTCTGAGCCACTCAACATGTGTGTACTATTAATCTATATGGTTGTTTATGTCTACCTTAACTTCGTAGGCTTACCTAACGTTTTAGCTCCAGAAGTGCACAGTTGCAAACCGATTACCAATAGATGTACTGAAAATAACAGAGGGGACATTTTGCTTTCCAAATAACACGTTAGGCTATATCTCGTTTATAAGCGAACTGCGCAGTTATTGATATTCGTACCTTCTACATCAGAAGAATGTGATTCCCCAGATCGGTCAGAGTATTCGGAATTACCCTGTCTGTCACTTTCAGCTGTTGGGGAATCTGTTCTGCTTTCTTCCCCAGTCTGAGTTGAGGTGTGAGACATATTTTGTGTTGGGCCTACAGATGGAAATACAACATATACATGTTATAAGACCTTGCAAGAAATTAAACATTTCAAAACAATTACTTTGAGCACTGGCACACCTGTGTGAAGTGAACATCGACCAAAACAAATCCATTTAACTCAAAATGCCATTCACTCTTTTCAAAACTAACTCTTCTCTCTGACAAAATCAAGATTCAAGAATCAATCGATCAATTATTTTATATGATATTTTTGTTGTTTGCTTTAGATGTACATTGTTAAAATTGTAAACGAAGACCAATTTAGAAAATACGCGATCAGCCTTCTCCCTACAGTGCTTACAGTGAGCATTGCCCCCCCCCCCCCCTTTCAGAAACGGGGGAGGTTCTCAATCCTTAAACAATTCTCAATAAAAAAAAATATATTATAAGATCACCTTTTGGCGTGAATATGTACAGAACTAGACAGTAAAATAATGGCTCATCTTAATGACTGTCAATACCGCAATATATATATTCCAAAATGTCCCCAAAACTGCACGAACCATAATTGTCTTTAACTTTGATGTCTTTGTCGTTTAAATATGCACATAATCTTCAGCCGATCGGAGTCGGGGTCATTATGTACAACGAAAGCCTCGGTAAAAACTGGGAGACGCTGACAAATATTCGTTGCGTTAAAAAATAGTTCATTATCTTAAATAGTATTCTGCTTTTTTTCTGTCTGTTGTCGAATGCTCTAATTACCTTTCTTCATCCGCCTTGGCTTTAACCCTGTGTAGAATAAAAAAAGAATGGAATTTTTTTTATTGCAGTCCAACTCACAAAATATTTAAATAAGTAAACATTGAAGTATAATTAAGAATGTATTGATCCGTACAGAATTGAACTGAAATACAAATATTTCAGGTTGTTTATTTTCAATTTAAATAAGAATAAACTGGACAGGAGTATATAATAGGATGGTTGTGTGTTAATTTGTTTTGTTAAACTGTGTTTAATTTTGTCTGAACTGTATGCAAGGGGATTCTCTTTCTTGAATCAAAACAAGATTTTGATCTCCAAAGCTCTCCAACATTGTATTTTTGTTGGAATTGTGTGGAATTAGACTGAGCAATAACACATCTTATTCTCATTGGCTTTCGTTACATGTCAGGCCAACACTGCAGTAAATTTAAATGAAAGAAATTCTCACCATGACTCACTTCTACACTCAACCAAAACAGAAAGAAGCCCCCCCCCCCCCCTTCCAATATATTTTTGTCTAACTCAGAAACTACTTAGCTCCTTTCGCTCGTTTTTGGAAGTTGTGGTTCACACTCGCCTTGCAAGTATACACAAGTGCAATTTTTTTCGGTTCCATTTGTCATAAATTGCATATTAAATTTTGTACACATTATCACTGTTTTGGGCCAAACAAAGAGTATGGCTGGATTGCTGAGGTAATTCTATACTGATCATTCGTATTTTTTAGCAAGATGTACCAAGTATAGTTTTTGAGTTGGACAAAAAAAGTATAAATGGGAGACTTTCTTTTTTGGATGAGTGTAGCTTATGATACTTCTTTTTGTCCTGGGCTGCAAAGCTGACTTACATTTTCTCTTCCTCCTTTTCTGTGTAGTTTTCCTCTTCTCTGTCTTCCTCTTTGGCCTTGTGTCTGCATCCGAGTTGAAAGTAATATCAAACGATGTGACAAATTGATTTACCTGACCAGTTGCGAAACGACATACGTTCAAAGTTGTAACGAGTCACTGATTTTTGTGACTCGAGTCAAGTCGAGGCATTTTAAAGGAGTAACTCGAGTCAAGTTGAGTCACTAGGGCAAGAAGGTCGAGTCGAGTCACAGTGTGTAGTCGAGTCGAGTCGAGTCCAGTCCAGTATTTAGTCAATTCGAGTCATAAATACTTGAACACTATAGGCCTACAATAAATAAAACACAAGACAGAAAGTCATTTTTTGTGCTTTTTAATTTTACATTCGGGCTACTACATGTGGTGACACCACCTTTGACTTGTAATGAAAACTATTGGAGACACTGCACCAAACCACGTAATGTATACATCATTCGCGAACATACTAACGTGACGTGAACAAAACTGGGCACCGGCGTATAAAGTCATTGCGAATATTTTTCGCAAACGTTTGCTCTTTTTTTTTTTTGGGGGGGGGGGCCTCGAGTCTTATTAGCCTTCCTCGAGTCGAGTCGTGTCATTCTGATGAGGCACTCGAGTCGAGTCGAGTCACCAAACTTGTGACTCGAGTCGGACTCGAGTCGAGTCATTGACTCGAGTCATTACAACTCTGCATACGTCTTACAATAACAATTTTATTTTAAAAAAAAAAGTAAGGAACCTTTGATATAATTTACTCTTTTTTTTCCAGAAAAACAAGGTAGACCTTCATTTCCAACGGGGGGGGGGGGGGGGGGGGGGGGGGGGAGGGGGGGGATAGGGGGGATGTACACACCCCCCCCCCAAATAAAAATATAAATGGCAGTAGCGAATGTTACAAGATGACGTCACACGTGAACGGTCTAACCCCCCACCACCCCAAAGAATATTCGTGAAAAGGGGGCATTTGTACACTATTAGGAAATATAGTGCATGATGTGTGGTCTGGTGGTAAAGCACATGATTAAGGATCGTGAGGTTGTGGGTTCGAGCCCTGCCGTGGCCATGCGTGTTGTGCCCTTGAGTAAGGTGCTTTACCTCAATTACTCCTCTCAACCTAGGTGTTAAATGGGTACCGCCATTATTCAATGCTGGGAAAGCAACAGACTTGCTGTGGAGGAGGTGTGGCGATCCCCCCACGGCAGCATATTACGAGTCTGGCCCAAGCGGTTGACCCCCCCCCCCCCCCCCCCCCCCGGCCGGACAAGCAAACAAATTGAAAAATTAAAAGGCGCAGAGTCATATTGCTGTTAATCAAATGGCTAAGGGGAGGGGGAGGCAAATGTCCATTTTTTTTTCAAGTTCAGACATTTTTTTATAATATCTGGACTTGCTTCTAGAGTTCTAGCGGCTTGCGCTCTGTTCTTCTTAAATTCAAAGAATGTCTTACCCTTTTTCACTCTTAGCACCATATTTGTCCTCCGTTGCTGTACTGTGTTTAAATAAGTGATACCAAAAAAAAGAGACAAAGACGATTATTTTTTTTAAAATACCAAAAAAAGTGAAATGATAAGCTTATCTGGAAATTAAAGAACAGGATATATTTTGAAAAGTGTTGTCAACTTGTGAATTATTGGAATGCAATGGGACAACACTATCGAAAAAAATTTAAAAAAAAGGATAGTTCAGGCAATAACATGGTATTTGAGAGAGATATGGGATCCTTAAAACAGAAACAATTAATCACTCAATTCGTCCATACTGGAGGAGTAAAAAATGAATTAAAAAAACAATAAATGACTATCATGAATTTTTGCATAGTTTTAGTTCATGTCTAAGGGGCCATTCAGAATTTTCAATGTTTTAATATTTCGATCTTTTTTCCAAATTGTGGGTGGGTGGGTCAAGCTAAATAATTGAAAATCGAAATTCTCTTTCCATGGAAAAAAGATAAAAAACAAAGAAAGATAGATCTTTTGACTTGCCTGAACTACTACGCGCAAACATTCCGATATCGCGATGCGTGTTTCTTTTCCAACTTCGTCCCCTGTATGTACTGTCAGTGGCGTAGCCAGGAATTTTTCAGTTGGGGGGGGGGGGGGGGGCGCTGGGGGGGGGGGGCTGGAACATTTCATGGGGGGGGGGCGTCATGTAGATCAATGATAATTTTTTTAGAAACTCAAAATCTCAGTGGGGGAGGCGACTGGGGGACGACAAGGCTGTCGCCCCCCCCCCCAACACCCCCCCCCCCCCCCCCCCCCCCCCCCCCCGTGGCTACGCCACTGCAGGTCATACAGTTAAAGTTTATGTAAACTTGTATGAAAAGTCAAAGAAAAGTAACTCCCATGATCTATTTATGAAATATCTAAACAGCGTCGTTGTGTTGTGAACACATAAAGGCATTCAAGTCGCGTTCTTGCACACTTTTTGCACGTCGACATGGATATCCTTGAACCACTGCCCCTGCTTTGCATAACAAGTGCACCTGAATGAACGATTCAAGTTTTATTCAAAGAAATTTCTATGTACAGTCACCAGACTCTATTCAGTACAGTCCCTGTCAAAACGAAAGTAAACAATCCACGTGCATGACGCACGGCTACACCATCGTCCAGTGTGGCAGGGACACCAACAAGTAATACAACTAAACATTTTTAAAAAAAAATTTGATAAATATTCTGATTGAATTTCGTTAAAAGATACTTGTTGGTGAGGTATCACATATTTTATCACATAAAAGAGGAAGAACGCAAACTTCACGCCGTCACTGAACTAGACACACATGTACATGGTGTTCAAGTACATGTACATGTTCAGTTTTTTATTAATCGAAATTAGGGGTGGGTGGGTGGGTCAAAATAATTTGGAAAAAAAGTCGAAATTTTAAAACATTGAAAATTCTGAATGGCCCCTAAGCAGGCCTATTTTGTTTTCGTCAGCTTTAGGAGGCTATTCTTACACGTCTTTTTCCAACTCCTTCTCCTCATATTCTTCTTCCTCTTTCGCTTTTCCACTGTGCATAAGATGGAAAAGAAAGGGTTGTTTTAATACCTTTAGACCATCTGTACTAAAAAAAAAAATGAAAATGCTTCAAAATTGCTGAGACTCAACATTGTAGGTTTTTCTATTGCCTCCAGGTGGTCCGTTATAATGTTGCAATGACAGTTGAAAGTCATGCGGCAATTTAATTTTACCTTCACAACAAAATGATGAGGGCACAAATCGAATGTTTCAACAACATGCACAAAGTCATAAAAGAACAGACGCAGTTGTACATAAGACATTATTATTTCGAAACTAACCGAATACTTAATTTAGGTCATACAATATTTTTTTTTCGAGTCTCTTTTTTTTATACCAAATAAAAAAGGTTAATACGAGGGGGACCGAAATGCCTCCACAATTATACGATGAAGCTTTAGATTATACGGGCACAATTTACCAATGCATCTCCATGCTGATGCAGAAGTGTCTCTCGTCTGCTCTTGCTTCTCATTAATGCCGTTTGAGGTATCAGGAGTACTTTCTTGGTCAGCGTCTTCAGCCTTATGACTTTCGTCAATTCTGTTTTTCCTTAATCCTTCCCCTGGGAAGAGGAAAGTCATATACGACAGAAACAAAAAACACATTAACTTTTTCTTTAATTATTACATTTGTCCCCAACATTGGATGAGAATGATTTAGTGACACTTCTTTGAAATCCGAAATCGTAGCTTAAATTTGTGTTAACTCAAACATGACTATTTTGCTCAGCGCCGTGTGACGTTGAAGTATCTTCCAAAAAAAATGAAATTGACAATTTTCGAAAGTAACTATTGACAAAATTCATGGACAGGAGAACATTATTCGGGTGAGTCGATAACTCGAATGACGAAATGCAAAACTACATTTTAACTCAGCCAACGGATACCTGAAGCTCTTTCTCCCTCAACCCATATATATTAACATTAATCGAAGAAAAAAACAATGACACTATTTGACCACAAGTGCCTCACATCTTTATTATTGAAGGGCAGATCAATGAAAAGGACGATAAATGAAAGTTTTAGCAACAAAAACACTGCATCAGGCAATATGTACGCATGAATTCCGAATGTAAAATACTGGCATACGAACCTGCCACAGTGCACAAATGAGATTCCTCCGACTTTTCCAAATCTGCACAAACATCTTGTTTCTCGCGAACAGGGGAATCCATAGTAGTATTTAGCTGTTTAGTCCTGTAGTTAGTACCTATAGTTTGTTAAAGGGAGACAAATTGTAAAGCTCTTGAGTTTTTTTTTTCCAATGTCCTTAGCGACTATTTTAGCGAGGTTTTCAAAGAGCCCCTGCAACACCCAAGGTGGCCTTTTTCATGAAATTGCTAATGCCTTTCATCTAATAAAAAAAAAACAATGTTCTTTTATAAATTGAATTTCATCGTAAAATTGTTTTCTTTTCGTCTGTCCAAACTTTCTTTCAAGACGGGTTGAATTTACCATTATGGTTGTGATAAAAGAACTTTCGATGCCCCAAAAAAGACGAGATTCCAAAATATTTGCCCTTGTTATCACCGAAACGAATTGATGGAAAGAACTGTTTTATTGTTTTTTTTTTCAGCAGAAGAAGTAATTTAACAAGAATATCTTGCTTCTCAAATTTTGACAGAATTATGAGAATTCTTTTACGTTAATTTCTACTACAGCCATTTTCAGACCCCCCTAATTGTTGGTTCTGATGATTTCTCAAATCTACTGGTGTGGACCGACCAGTCCACACATATTTTTTGGGCCATGCAATTTAGGATTTGTAAAACAAAAATGGAATCCGCAAACAGGACTGTAAGCTTATTTGGATGAAATTCGGCCCTATTAATGCTGTATTTTTCAAAATAGCGCAGGCATCATTTTTCGAAATGTCCATGGGCTTTTGGACTACCGTTAGGGGTGATTACTTTGGATGGAAATTTCTACAAAACGTCATCGGATTGTCCCCTCCCCCCAAAAAAGTAAATAAATAAAAAGAAAAATTAACAGATAATAAAATATGAAATCAGCTTTAATTTGATGTGTCTCAAACAACTCCGAGAGTTGTGGGTATTTTGTCCTGATTTTTGGAAGTGGGATATTTATCACTGGACTATTTATCACTTATATACCAGCCTCGACTCCAGGGGCGCGTGCTCGTTCCTTACACTAACCCCTGGCTGTGATGATGACGCAAATGACGCTGAATGGCTATTCACAGTGTACTGCGCGCGAATTTCGAAGATTGCACGCCGGGCGCGCCCATAATGCGCTCGCGCTCGCGTGCTTAGCTTTGCAAGTAACGTCACGTACGAAAAAAAAATTATGATTCAAAAGTCGCGATGCCTGTACGATATGGATTATGTCAGCCGCGTTTTTCGCTAAAAAAACCCCCTGTATCTGTGGTTGTTCAGGCACGAAAGGGGTACGTACATTTAATACAAATCTTTGCTAATTAACTTAACGTCCAAACGTTGTGTTTCAAAGGATTGATTCTTCAAAATCACAACTTTTAACATTTTAAAGATGGCGTCTGCACGTAAAACGGATAAACTGCAGCCTTAATTATAATGAACCGTATTTTGGCACATTTAAATTACACAATTCCAGGGGTTACGATCGCGCAAGGCCTGATGGGGAAACAACATGGCGCTGCAAGATCGTACCCACGGGGAACGAGGTTGCTTAATTATTTACTGGACTGCAACGGTTTACTGCGCAGCAAAGCAACACATTTGGTTGCATGAAGCCGTATGTCCCTGTGCGCGCGTTTTATTCCATTACGCATTTGTTGCGAATGCGTTGCGTATGATTCCCTCGAAATCGCTTCATGGAGCAATTCTGCTGACATACGATACGACCCAAAGATTTCTACTCCAATCTCATCATATTGCGTCTGCCAATAAAACAAGGAGAAAAGAGGTCAAGGGTCACCTCAAATTGTTTGTGGGGTCTGAATCCTAACATGACTGTAAACCTATAGGTACAATACCGTTCGTTGGCACTATTGAGGCTTGGGTAAAAATGGGTTTTGACTAATAAATTTGATAAAATAACGACAGTAAGATTTACAACGTTAATTGACCTATCCGAGGGTATCACTACGTCAAATATGATGTCGCCACATCTGAAAATTCTTTTCAGGGCAAAATGAGTTCAGATTTATTCTTGGGTCATAAAAAAGTAACATTTTTAATTGTGTAAATCTTATTGTTATCCATAGGTAGGCTAAAGTTTTACTAAGGTCATGACCTCTCGTAAGGTCACCAGAGGAAGAATATGAAATGGCTTATATCTGAAAATTCTCTTTATAACATGAACACCTTTCATTTAAACACAAATCGTGAAAAAGATGGGGTTTGGAGAATAAATCTTACAAATAGCTATAAACAGGTTACAAAGCTCATTTATCTCTCAAAGGTCACCAGAGGTCAGACATGAATTGTTCCCACATCTGAACATTATTTTCGTTGTATGAAGACCTATGACATAGACTTGGGTAATTTTGCGACATCACTTTAAAAAAAACCAATTTGGTCAGTCGGTTTTGGGGAGGATGGGGTGGCCCCTTTTCCCCCTTCACGGATCCGCCGTTAAGCAAATTCATCATAATATTCGGCAAACTCATCACACCTTTCGACAGTCATATTTCATTTGGCAGTGTTACCATTCCGTGTTGCCAACTCACCATTTCATTCGGAAAAATTAGTCTCGCACAATGTTCGGTGAGTTCACAATTTATTTAGCGAATTCCCCATTTCGTCTGGCGAATTCATCAGAATGAATTCACAGGATAAAATGATGACATTGCTGATAGGAATGACAAATTTGCCGAAGGACTTTTGCAGATCAGAATGGTGAAATTGTAGAATGAAATGGGAATTCGCAGTAAAGAATGAGGCATTCGGCAATTTAATGATAAACTTGCCGAGTGGAATGGCACTTTAACGAAAATCGGAGAAACATTGGAAGCAGCTTTGGCGTTCCATAGAAAAATACACAAGTGATTTTTATTTTTAAATGTGAGTAAGCATTTTTATTATAATCCATATCAATACAGTCACTGAAGCGAGGCATATTGTGGGAGTAGTTTCTAAAGATTGAATCCCTGCGCAATTCACATTTGCAATGGGAAATACCCCATAGAAGTTCCTTACCTTATTTGGAAACAAACTGGCAAAAAGGTGCACACAAGAGTCAACGATAAGACATATAAAGTTGTTTGGAAAATAATAATAAGGTATTCAAAAACTTAACGCAAAGAAGATAAATCCTGAAAATTAACTATTAAGTGTATAGAAAAGAACAAGTTAACATGTAAACACAATTGGGGGAATAGAGGTCATTTCGTGGAAGAAGTTTCTAAACATTAAATCCTTGCGCAATTCACATTTGTAATGGGAAATACCCCTCAGAATTTCTTAACCTTATTAAAAAAAAACTTGCAAAAAAGTGCGCAAAGAGTCAACGATTGGAATATAACGGTGTTTAGAAAATGATCAGAGGGAATTGAAAAACTTAATGCAAAGAAGACAAATCGTGCAAAATAAACATTTAAGTGTATGAAATAGAACAAGTTAACATGTAAACACAAGTGGGGTAAAATTAAATGCTGAAAAAAATATTGTAATCGTTTTAAACGAAAACCATAGGTAAACTACCTTAGGCATAAAAACATGTTAGGACGATTTCAAGATGGGTGCAACAACATGCATGCATAACTGTAAACTTATCAGGCCCAATTTGAAGGCGCTGCTAAAGCAAACGATTTCTGCTAATTAAGCCCCGTCTATTCCGTGGGGTTTGTTTATGCATTCAATAAGGGATATTAATCTATAGAGGACAACAGGGTTGACGATCGTGTACATAACGTATGTGACGTCTTCCTAAAAGGTTAGTTACGTAGTACAAACAAATGAGGGACAATAGTGGGGTCCATTGAAGGTGTCTACAAAAACTTGGTTGAGACCGTTTGAGCACAGAGAAAGCACACTTTCTAACCCCAGAGTAAAAATTCACGCGCGGATCCAGGGGAGGGGTCCAAAACCTTCCCCTCCCCGCGCTCTGACCCCCCAAAATATAATAATTAAAGTAATAATAAACTGATGACATTCTTCCTGTCCGCAACAATTGGACATAAGAAAATATAACGGGCCTGCCCCCCCCCCGCAAAAAAATCCTGGTTACGCCCCTGAAAGTTGCTTTAAGAAATGACTTATGGAAATCTCTTTGCAATGCGTGCTACAGTTGGTACATCATGGTTTCCATATCGACGTTATAGCTTATGCAGACTGCTCCAACAGTGTGCTGAATCGTCGGCGAAATCTCCGGATGAAATGTGTCCGTATGTCTGCGTCGCAGTTTGCATAGGCGTAGCCAGCTGGAGGGGGGGGGGTACTTCCCCCCCCCCCCAATATTTTGTGAAGATGCCCTTTTCTATTCAAAGGCTCTTTTTTCACCAGCGGTTACCTACCCCTCCCCCCAATAATTTGTAAAGAGTGGCCTTTTTTTAAGAATTGCGCTTTTTTTTTTTGAACAAGTGGCTTTTTTAAAAAGAAGTAGTGCCCTTGTTTGTGCCATCGGCTATTCTGTGTGCCCTTTTTTAATTTCACGCGTGTATCGCCCTGAAAAGTACCATATATGAACAGAGCCCCCATCGACGGATGGTACCCCCCCCCCATGATCGAAAACGCGTCCTCGATTTAATACTCATCATGTCCTCAATTACGCAAGGATGCTTCATATGTGTGTCCTCGATTTACACCATCATTCACAGTGTAGACCCATGGGTTGTAAATTGTTTTTAAAAGAGCAAAATGAAATGACTACCTGTTGCAATGGTGACCCAGTGAAACTGGCAACCTTAAAAATATCATCAACAGGTAAACCTTAACAGTCATGTATGAACACGACAACGAATACAACGCGTAAAACACAAAATCGTAAACAGGAAAGCTTAAAAAAAACGTAATGAAATAAAACTGCAAAATATACGATCGCAAAATAAAACTAAGGGGCCATTCAACATTTCCAAATTAATTTGATTCACCCATCCACCCAATTTTCGATCTTAAAATATTGATTTTCCATTCAATGAAAACATAACGAATGTCCAGTTTAGTGGCGGCGGAATGCAGCTGCAGTCAGTATACAGTGCCTTTGCAACAACACGGCCCACTGGTATTCCCGTACG